GGGGCCGTGGTGCCAGCTGGGTGGGGGGCCACCCACGCAGAGGCCCGGCTCACTGTGGGCCCTGGGGCCACCGCCAGTCATCCCCAGGGACAGGCCATTCCCCAGTGACGTGAACGGGATGTGGGCCCCTCTTAAAACGTAGGATTTAGTGTATGGTTGTTTCCCATGGCTGGGAGCGGCTCCTGGGGAGCTTGTGCCTGAATGCAGTTGCCACCCTGGCTCGCTCCAGCTCAGGCAGTCAGTTGTAGGTCGGGAAAAATCACAGGAAATTAAAAACGCCCCCCTCTCTGCCTTTGAAGAGCACACCTGAACTGTAAACCATGGTGAAATGTGAAATGTGGTCTTTCCGGTTTGGGAAGAGAGAACAGGACCAAACTGGGGCTCTGTGTGCCTGGGTCGGCTTCCAGGGGCTTCTGACTCCCTCCCTGAGCATCCCCGTCCCCAGCACCCCTTTCCCCGCTTCAGGAAGGGGTTATTTGGTTCGGGGCAGCTGGCCACTCGCCTCTTGGACTATTGTTGTGCTTCCTCCTGCCCACTGGAAGTACAGCTGCAGGTTAGGAGGACTCTCCTGGCCCCAGGGTCCTCCAGTTTCAGAGCTACTTGGCCATGTCCCCAATGTTGCTCACACCCCAGGAGTCGTGTCCTCTGCCTGGTGTCCCTCGATCTCTTCTGATACAAATCCTTTCGTGGTCACCCAGAGCAGCTGGGTTCAAGCAGAAAGCTCCATGCTGGGTCCTTTTTCTCTCTGCTTGCTTTAGCAAGGGGTTCTTGGGCTGGGACCAGGCCTGCTCTGGGAAGGGGCTTCCTCGGGACCTGGCAGTAGCACGGCGTGTGTTGTGTGTCAGGAGAGGATCAGCTTCTCAGAGGCTTTTGTGACTTCCCCCCGCCCCAGAAGGTCAGGAAGCACAGGGTGAAATTTCAGCCTGCCCAGACAGATCTATCCTCACTGATTGCATGGGGACAGGCCAGCGACCTTGCCCTAGGGAGCCACGGGACAGTTACCCCACATGTGAAATGGGATTGTTGGTAACCACTGCTCTGAATGGCTGGGATGATGAACGGGCGTGTGACTCAGGAGCACCAGGTTGCCCCATGGGCCAGGGGTGTCTTTGTTGGTGCTTCCCACACACAGCAGTCTGCCCTGGGTCTTGGGCCCCAGTAGTTTTCTTGGCTTCTCTGAAGATTCTAGATTCTTCCTGATCCTGGGCACAGTTCCCACTATCCTGCTGTCCCCCACAGGGCTTGGCATCTCACCCTTTGGGTGGTCCCTGTCTGCCCAGCCTCCTAATATGCCCAGGGGCTTGGGGCAGGGCTGGGGCAGGGGAACCCTTCTGTACAGGCCCCTGCACTTTTCCTTCACAGGTGGGGTACTCAGTGTCTCAAAGTTGGGTGTCTGCAGGGTGGGGGCAGGTTGGTTTCAGAGAGCAGCTGCAGTGTGCAGTCCTGGGCAGGGGTGCTGTGACAGGAACAGGGCCCCCAGTGGGCAGTCCCCTGGGGTCCTTGGCACATGGAGGAGCATTCTCGTGAACAGCCAGGGCGTGGTCTTCAAGCAAGGAACAGGCAAAGTTCTGTTTTAAGATTTCAGTACTGCCAGGCGTGGTGGCGCATGCCTGTAATCCCAGCACTGATTAGGCTGAGGCGGGAGGATCGTTGTGAGTTCAAGGCCAGCCTGGGCTACAAAGTGAGCTCAAGGCCAGCCTGACCTGCATAGTGAGACCCTATCTCAAAAAGACCAAAAAAAAAAAAAAAAAAGATTTCAGTACCTTTTTATTGAGGTATGTATGCTCAGGAAAGTGCTGTCCTCTTACAAACTGGGCACTGGTGCAGCACGGGGCATTCCCTGCGCCGAGGCCTTTGGCCTTCGCCGTTGAGCCTCTTCTCCGAGCCGCATCCTCGTCTGTGTCCAGAGGGTCACTGTCGCCCACAGCCCTGCTGGATGTAGGGCTGGGCGGTGGCCCCGTGTGACTGCAGAGAGCTGCCATCTCTGCCGGGAGCTTTCTTACTGTCTGTCTAGGGGAGAGGAGAGAGATTTGGGGCAGATGTTCTTTGCCGTCTATGTGAGAAGTCAGAATGCCAGGTCCAGCTGTAGTTGTCACGTCATGTTGATTTTGTTTTTAATCTTTGTAACAGTAAAATGTGCAGAACATAACATTTACCGCTGTAGCTCTGTTCAGTAGTCAGCGACGTGAAGTCCGTGTTTACTGTTTGTAGCCATCAGCGCCATCCACTTCTAAAACTCTTTTCATCTCCCCAGACAGAAGCGCTGACTCCCTATCCCCCTCGCTCCAGCCCCTGGCAGCCACCTTCCTACTCTCTGTAACAATGATTTTGATGATCCGGAGACCTCATGTAGGTGAAATCATACAGTATTCTTTTGTGAGTGGCTTATTTTACTTAATGTAGTACACTCAGGCTCATCTATGTTGCAGCAAGTATCAGAATTCCCTCTTTTGTGGCTGAGTTATATTCCATTATATGGCTAGACCTCATTTTGTTTGTTCATTCATCCATCGATGGACACTTGGTTTGCTTCCACTTGTGAGCCATTGTGAATAATGCTACTGTGAACATTGAGATCTTGTGTTCAATAACTTTGGATGTAGCTCCAGAAATGCGATTGCTGAGTGAGATGGTGCTTCTGTTTTTAGTATTTGAAGAACCACCCCATGCTGTTTCCCAGTGCCTGTCCCACCAATAGTACATTCCCACCAATAGTATTCAAAAGGTTCCAGTTTCTTCGCATCAGGACTGACGCTTTCTTTTCCTTAACAGCAGCTGTCTAATGCGTGTGAGCTGACATTTCAGTGTGGTTACCATTTGCATTTCCCTAATTAATTAGCATGGCCGTTGCTCATGTAGATCATCTTTTTTTTTTTGGTACCGAGAATCGAACTCAGGGCCTCATGCTTACCAGGCAGGAGCTACATTGCTGAGCTATGTGCCTAGCCCTGCAGATCATCTTTAGACAAATGTCTGTTCAGCTTCCTTGCCCATTTTTGGAGGAAGTTGGGGTTTTAATTTTGTTCATTTTTAGGCATTCTCTATACTTTCTGGATATGAATTCCTCATCAGAGATTGATTTGCAAGTGTTTTCTTCCATTCTGTACACTGCCTTTTTATTCTGTAGATGGTGTCTTTCTTTTTTTTTTTTTTTCCTGGTCCTTGAGATTAAACTCAGGAGTGCTTATGTTCATCAGTCCTTATTTTGTTTTGAGATGGGGGTCTTGTTAAATTGACCATGCTGGGATTGAACTTGGAATCCTCCTACCTTGGCCTCCCTAGCTCCTCAGCTGGGATTATAGGCATGCAGCACTGTGCCTGACTATACATAGAGCCTTTTTAAAACAAAGTTTTAAAGTTTTTGTAAAGTCTGTATTTGTATCTCTTTCTGTGTGGTTTTTTTTGGGGGGGCGGGTACTGGGATTTGAACTCAGGACCTTGCACTTACCAGGAAGGTGCTGTGCCGCTGAGCTATATCCCCAGTCCAATTTTTGTAAAGTCTGACTCATTGATTTTTTTTCTTGTTTGCCGGTGTTTTCCTGGGGTTTGATCTTCACTGTGTCCCTTCTGCCTTAAGGAACCGTAGACTAGATACAGTAAAGATGGTGGTAGTGGGGCTAGGGGATCCCCCTCTGTAGGTGGTTACTCCACGGGCGTCACCCTGGTCATGGAGCCTGAGCAGTGAAGCGTGCTGCCTGGAGGATGTTTGTCCTCTGTGTCCTGGGCCTGGGTACCCGGGGTGATCTCAGAGGAGCAAACCCTTTCCCTGCTGAAACAGACGCCACCAAACTAACTAATCACCAGTTAGGTGATTTCCAACTCTTGAATCCAGTTTGTGTGGATGTCGGCAAACCTCTCCTGGTGGGCAGGAGTGTGGCTAGCTGGGTCCCCTCTGTGCAGGAGAGCCTCATGGTCTGCAGCCCCTATGAGAAAGGCACTATTTCTACCCAAGTCCTAAGATGGTGTTTCGGGGTGCTCATGGCCAGCGCAGCATCAAGCACTGAAGCTGTCTGGAGGCCTCTGCCTCTTCATGTCCAGAATTTCCTGTGATTTCCGGGTCATTCTGGCAGTGGGGCCATGGGTTGCTCCTAGGATGGCCTCTGAGGGGTGTGATGGGGTGATGGTCTACAGGCCCCTTGGTTCTCATGGACCTGGGTATGGGGATAAGACCCTCATTTCGGGGAGGGTTCTTGGAAAGGCAGAGAAGCTGAGAGCCATAGATGGTAAGAGGTGACGAAAATGACCGGGCTATGGGGCGGATCAGGATCCCTGTGGCTGGGGCGGTGCGGAGGAGGAGAAAACAGGAGAGGCCGGCAGCTGGGGGCACTGACACAGGGAGCCGTGGAAGGTTTCTGGGCTGCGGGGTGGGCTCCAGGGTGCTCCTTTAAGATTGTTCTTTGTAGGGGTGTCTAGGGCCAGGGTGGGGGAACCTGGAATATAGAGATAGATGGGAAGCCGAGGACACAGTCACTGGAAGGAGCCTGAGCTTGGACAGTGGCCAGAGACTTGGAAGGAAATCTTGAGGCTCTGTCCAGCCTAGGCTCCCTCTGAGCCACCTCTTAAAGCTTAGCCCTAGCCAGGCCTCTACTGGACATTGTGTCCAGGGCTGAGCCCTCCAGTCTCCTCTCCAGGATCAGGCTGACAAAGGGACTAGAGCAGAGCAAGCCCCCCGCCGCATCTGGAGGGCCCCATGGTCTCCTCTGTGTAGCACACGTGTGTGAAGTGGGGGATGTGGCAGGAGCAGTCACCCATACCTGGGAGGACGAAGATAGCAGTTGCTCAATAAATAGTGGCTGTTACTGAGCCTAGAAATAAGATCATTTGTGGTTCTGGGGCTACGCAGGCAGCTTCCAGGCAGCAGTTGGGTTGTGGAAGGAAGGGGTGCAAGGTCTCGGGTGCAGGTGGGACAGGTGGCAGGAGTGGGTCATGCATAGGCTCCCCCCAGCCTGGAGCCCTGTGCCCCATCTGCTTGGTCCTCATAGTTTGCTTCTGCCCCACAGCCTCGCCCCTCCTGCTGTTTGCCAACCGCCGGGACGTGCGGCTGGTGGATGCCGGCGGAGTCAAACTGGAGTCCACCATTGTGGTCAGCGGGCTGGAAGACGCAGCCGCCGTGGACTTCCAGTTCTCCAAAGGTGCCGTGTACTGGACAGATGTGAGCGAGGAGGCCATCAAGCAGACCTACCTGAACCAGACAGGGGTGGCCACACAGAATGTCATCGTCTCCGGCCTGGTCTCACCTGATGGCCTGGCCTGTGACTGGGTGGGCAAAAAGCTGTACTGGACAGACTCGGAGACCAACCGCATCGAGGTGGCCAACCTCAACGGCACGTCGCGCAAGGTGCTGTTCTGGCAGGACCTGGACCAGCCGAGGGCCATCGCCCTGGACCCTGCTCATGGGTAAGCACGCCGCTTGCCTGCTGGTGCCTCGGGAGGAGGGAGAATAGGGTTTCCCTCTTGGATTTCCTTAAGCCTCAACCCCAGTTCCTTCTTCAGAGAACACGTAGCAATCTGCAAATGAACTCACCCTTTGCACATTGCCAATGCTGAGAGTTATTTCCCCTCTATCCCATACATATGCAGTTTTTGTTTTGTTTTGCTTTGTTTTTCTTGCTAAGGATTGAACCCAAAGGTGCTGTTCGTGAGCATGTTACATCCTCATTCCTTTTTTACTTTTTTCAGCCAGGGTCTCACTGAGTTGCCCAGGTTGGTCTTGAACTCGCACTCCTGTCTCAGCTTCCTAAGTAGCTGGGTTGACAGATGTGTACCACCACCCGGAACTTACATGTCTTTTTAAACTTGCTGTGTCTAGGGCAACCCATACGGTAGACCGGAGATTGGAAGGTTAAGTATCTTTGCTGTGGGGGGTTCTGGGAAGTGTGGACCTCATGGGTGGAAAGTGCATCTTCCTCCTGTTGTGTGGCTACACTGGCTGCCCTGGCTGGCTCACCTTGTCTGGAGCAGAGCCTGCCAGGGTGGTTTCCTCTGTGTACTCTGGAAGCTGCTCTACCTGCTTGCATGTCTGGCTGAGCCCAGCTTGGCCTTTGGAGCCTCAGGGCAGCCAGCATGGCAGGGGCAGAGTGCGAGTGGTGGCAAAGCTGAGCACGTCCTTGGGGCTGTAGGCTGGGATGGAGAGTAGCGGGGGAAGTGGCCTGGCTTTACAGGCCTGCTTGTTCCAGATTTCCAAACAGGAATAGTTTCCGTGGTCACCCCTTCACCCTCCCTTGTCCCTCCTCTCTTGGGAGTAATACTGGGGCATGGCGCAGACACTCCTTCTTAGGCTGCCAGAGCTTGGCCCTGCCGAGCCGTGTCTGTCCCATTGAGAATGGCCAGATGTCTTGAGCAGCACACCCAAGCACTCCCTTCTGTGTGGTTAGCTCATTTAATGTCACCAGAGCTTCTGAGACGTTCCAGCCCGGGCTCTCCAGGCGAGGAGCTCAGTGTGGAGGTTCTGTGGGACTCACCCAGATCTCTTGAGTTAGACACCCCAGAGACAAGCTGAGCAATGCCCAGGTTGCGGGAGCCCATGATTGCCGCTGCTCCACTCCGCCTTCCTCCCTAAAGTCTGGCCTGGAGCCCTTGCCTTGGCTGTCCCCAGTAGTGAGGTGCCACTAGCTCTGAAATAGTACTGGAGATCTCTGTTCCACTCTAGCTGTCACCAGTTTGCTGTTGCCCCTGGCCTTGGGCTCACCTGCCCCCAGTGACACCAGCTGCACTGTCTGAGGCCTGAGCAGAAGCTGGGCACTTAGGGACCCTCTGTTCGCACAGGCTGGAAAGTGGGGTTTGTTCCCCACAGGGCTCACATCCGGGGTTTCAGGAACAGGTCAGGTGAGGGGCAGGTGGTGGCTGAGTTAACTATTACTTCTGAGGCCACTGGACAGGCTTCTGAGTGCAAGGGAACAGCTGGGGCCTTTGGAATTGGCTGATTTATGAAAAACCCTGAGTGTGTGTATGTGTGCGTGTGTGTATCTGAGTGTATATGAGAACGTGTGTTATCGAGCGTCAGCAGGAGCATAGGAGCTGTGTGCATATGAGTATGTCAGCATTCGTTCATGTGAATGTGGTGTGTGTGATGCATGTGTACAAGTTTGCATGTGTACAAGTTTGCATGTGCATTGCATGACAATATGTATATGTGCGTGAGAACATGGGTACCTGACAAGCGTATATATCCATATTCCTGGGCATGTTTACAAGGGAGCGTGTGTTAATATTGCTTGCGTATGAAATTGTGTGCATGCAATGTTGTGTTGTAAATAGGCACATGTGTATGTGTGACTGTGACATATGCAGGTGGAAGGGCATGTGTGTATGTTCATATTTATGTTCATATGCATGGCAGATAGGGTAGGGTGGAATTTTCTGCCCAAGTATTTTGACTCTGAGATCAGACCAGAGCAAGTAACTCCCTGCTCCAAGGATACCTCTAGCCCCAGTCTCTGGGATGCTGTGTTGGGTGGCTACCTGTCCCTGTGGGCCCCTTGCCCCCTCCAAGGGAGCTGGGCCCCACCACTGCCCAGGCTCAGGCCACCCTGCTCAGGCCAGGACGGTCTCTGTGCAGCCAAAGCAGTCCCTGTAGGCCTGTCCCTGGGCTACAGTGTGGCTCCCGGAGCTTCGGAGCGCCTGCCTCCCTTCCTGGGAGCAAACGGTTGAGGTAACGGTCCCCATGGCTCAGAGGGGCTTCTCTCTGTAGCGAGCGAGGCTGAGGGAGCAGTCATCCGGAGGGCCCTGGCCCAGGGCTGGCACATGGTCTGCCCAGCACTGGGTGCCTTGGCCATCTTGTCTCCGGTGACCCTGCTGTCCCCTCCCCCAGCCACTTCCCCTGCCACACACACACTGGATGCAGCAGCTCTGTCCTCGCCCAGCTGGCACTTTAGCAGGCGTTCACAAGCACGCGTGCCCAGGTCCATTCCCCATGTTGCGGGCACAGCCATTCTCTGCCCTTGGGGCCCTCATGGTGCACCTGGGAGAAGGTGGTAAATGGACGTGTCTGAGAGGGATGTGTGCCACCAGGAGAATAAATCAGGGCCTGGGGACAGAGGGCCATGGTGAAGACCTTCATGCTGGAGTTTGGAAGCCTCAAAAGTCTTGGTGACTTTGGAGCAGAGCCAAAGCAGAGGAGGGCAAGAACCACGTGGTCCTCTGGGGGAAGAGTGTTCCAGACGAGGGGAACAGACACTGAGAAGGCCTCGGGAGCTGGAGCTCGTGGGAGGCTGCAGCAGAGCTTGAATGGTTCATTTGTGCTCGAAGGAGTCATGAGGTGTGGAGAGAGGCAGGGCAAGTCCTGAGTTGAGTCACCTGGTCTGGCTCAGCCCGAAGGGGCTCTCCTGTGCTGGTGGAGTGAAGGCAGCCTTGGGGTGGGTATGGGACAGGGGTCCCGGCCGCAGTTACTGTGATCCTGGCGTTAGAGGGCCGTGGCTTGGACCAGGGAGGAAGTGGACTAGTGATAAAAGTTGACCAGCTTTGGGACCTGTTACTGCTTGTGTATAGCTGTCCCCCGAAGCCTCATGCAGTCAGTCATAGGTGAAGCGCTTGCAGCAGTGGCTGTCTTCAGAGTGTGTGATGCTGGGATGGATTCATGGTTCATGCAATGCTAGGATCAAAGGCACTAGGATTAAGGGTATGAGTGTTACCTGCTCAAAGTAGCCTGGATAAGATGTAAGGGTCGAAAGAGCTGTGATCGTCCCTTGCTTGCTCTACGACCTTCTGCTTGCCATGGACTGTTTCTCTTCTGCGATGCCCCTTTGCCATGTCACCTGGCTGTAGAGCCAGCTGATGATGGACTGCAGCCTCTACAGACTGTGAGCTAAGTAAACCTTTCTTCGCTGAACTTGTGGGTGTTGCTATTTTGTCTCAACAGTGAGAAAAGTAGCTAAGATAGGAACTATTCTGAGGGCAGGACAACTGGATTTGCTGGCATTCTTCATGTGGGTTGAAAAGAACAACGGGCAAGGATGGATGGCGTGGTGCTGCCCTGTGCCTTGGTGTCCTAATTTGTACAGAGGGTGACTGAGTTGCACGTCATAGGGAAAACGCTAACTCAGTTCATGGGCTCAATAAACGCAGCAGTTACAATAAAAATGCCCTTCCTCTGCTGCAGGAAATACACTCTCTGCATCTATTCTCTCGTTTTAATTCTTCCGGCCTGGACCAGTCTGATGGAGTTGCAGTTGCAGCAGTCTCCAGTTAAGCTAAGGTGAACTGTGCTGCTTCTTTAAAATGCAGGCAGCCCTGCCATGAGACAGCGCAGCCACCTCTACCCCACGCCATGCTGCTTCCCAGAAGTATGGGCTCCTGCCGGAGCCTGTGAGACCATGCCCAAGCATGTCCTCAGCACATCCACGCCACGCAGCTCTGGTGATGGCTACTTGCAGATTCCATTTAAGGAAAGCACAGGCCTTGGCTGTGACTCCGGGGGATGTGAAGTAGGGCCCACACGGAGCTCCTGGAGCTTTTCTGGGTTTGTCACTGGGCCAAAATGCAGTGTTTGGGGAATGCCGTGTGAATCACACTGAGATCCTTCTCCTGGTACCTCTGGGCAGGAAGAGGAGCCTGAGTATAGGGGGAAGGGGGGGCCAGGAAAGTAGGGGTTTGCACCCCAGACCAGCCAGTGTCTGCCAAGCTGGCCACCAGCACCTTCACACCTCAGACTGCCAGGAAAGTCCCCCCATGCCCTGGCCCTGCTGATGAAGAGGTGAGTCATACTTGGCCTGGTGCAGGCCCTCAGCAGACAGCCACGCTGTGCTCCCAGGGCTACCACTTGATGCCCTGACCCGAGCAGGTCAGTCCTCCAGCGTCTTACTGTCCTCATCTGTCAACTAGGAACAACATTGCTGGCTTTCCTTGTGCTGGTTCGGCTTTTTCTAGTTAGAGGATAGCATGAAGATGCTATCTGAAAAGATGTTGTATGAAACGGGCCCTCTTCTATCCCCATGAGGGTTGGAGAATAGGGCTGGGTGGTAATAGTCAGGTATAATTGGCCCCTGGCCCTGGCGCAGAGAGAAGGTTTTATATGAAGCCCCTGTACCCTCATTGTCATTGGTGTTGTCACAGCCTCCCTGGAAGGCGGTAGTGTTCTTGGCTTGGAAATGTCTCCTGCTGGGAAGCTGGGGTTGGGGACTCACAGTAGGGGTACCCCCTTGGAGTGGCTGAAGCTGTCGTCTGTCAGTTTCCTTCTGCTGATGGAGACCCCCAGGGCCACGGCTGAGCTTGGTCCTTAGTGTCTGCTTGGAAGTTGTTGAATGAAGTTTTACCTCTAAAGAAATGAGGGCCTACGTGGGGGGTGACTTGCCGGACACTAGAGAAAATTGCCTAGAGGAAGGCTTTGCGGATGGGGTGAGTCCTTGAGGATGTGTGGCACCTGACCCTTGTCGGAACCTTGGGGACTTGGATGGGCAAAGCCAGCTCGCTCAGGAGTAGCTGCTCTTCTTTCTGTGTGTCCCATCCACATGTGTTCTTTTTAAAACAGACTTTAGGTTTTAGATTCACAGGAAAAGGGAGCAGAAGGTAGAAAGATTATCCATATGGCCTTAAGCCCCCACATTGGCCTCCCCCTGCAGAGTACTATGTTTGTTAAAATCAGCGGACGTCCAATATGTCGTTGTCCATGAGAATCTGTGGTGTATGTTACAGTTCATGTTGGTGGGCACATTTTACAGGTTTGGACAAATGTATAATATCTTGTATCCGTGTCACAGCATTGTACAGGAGAGGTGACTGCCCTGCCCTGTCTCTCCCACTCCCTAACCCCTGGCAACCACTGATGTTTGTGCCAGCTCTGTATTTTGCCTTCTCCAGATGTCACAGAATCAGAACTATGCAATATGTAGCCTTTCCAGATGGGCTTATTTCACTGTGTAATAAGCATTTATGGCTCCTGCATGTCTTTTCATGGCCTGATAGCTCATCCAGTTTTAGCACTAAATATATCCCATTCTGCATGTGTTTAATTGCCCTTTAGAGGTTCATGTACAGCATTTTCATAGTAGCAAAAAATCCAAAATAACCCAAACATCAAACAGAGCTAACAGTTTAAGTAACTCATGGACAGTGCGCTGTAGTACTGTTAAAAGAACAAGAAGTGTTTTTCTTTTTGAAAGAGGAAGGTGCTCAGAACTTGTTGTTAACTGAGGGCAATTTGGAAATGTAGTCAAGGGCCACGTAATGGCATTTGGGTCAGTGATGGCCCATGTGTAAACTATTGCCTAGTGACATCGTAGCTGTCTTAGTCTGTGGCAGCCCACTCTGTGATATTTGTGTAACCTAATGATGCATTTGTCATCATTTTGAAGAATGCTTTTTATGTTCTTAACAGTGTGTTCCTAGCTGGGCATGGTGGTGGACTCCTGTAATCCAGCACTGGGGAGGCTGAAGCAGGAAGATGGCAAGTTCAAGCCCAGCTTGGACAATTTAGCGATACTCTATCTCCCCCTCCACACCCCAGAAAAAAGAGTTGGGGATGTAGTTCATTTGTGGAACATGCCTAGATTCAACCCTTGGTACCACCAAAACAAGCAAACCAACCCCACAAAGTTCCTGTCCTAAGCCATACAGGACTCTATTCCTGAATCCCTGAACACTGATTATCTCTGATAGGTGAACTTTAGGTATGCATGCATACATGGAAACCAGTATCCAGATCTGGTAGCTCTCTGTCTTCTTACCCTTCCCCTCCTTGCTAGGTACATGTACTGGACAGACTGGGGGGAGACGCCCCGGATTGAGCGGGCTGGGATGGACGGCAGCACCCGGAAAATCATTGTGGACTCAGAAATTTACTGGCCCAACGGGCTGACCATCGATCTGGAGGAGCAGAAGCTCTACTGGGCCGACGCAAAGCTCAGCTTCATCCATCGTGCCAACCTGGACGGCTCATTCAGGTATGTGCCCACCAGCCAAGGGTGCCCCTGCCCTCTGCATCCTGCTGGCCCCATGGTGTTTGAAGGCCACTCTTCTTTTTTTGTTTTTTTGGTACCTGGAATTGAACTCAGGACCTTGCACTTGCCAGGCAGGCACTGTGCTGCTGAGCTACATCCCCAGCGCCGAAGGCCACTGTTCTTAACTCAGGCCCCCAGACTTGAATCTGAAAGCCTAGAGATCTGAGGAACTGGACTCCTCAGGACCTGAGGGGAACCTAGAGTGTGTATACCACACTTTACATCATGCTAGGTTTGGGGGGTCCTCCTGAGAGGGCAAACCCCATTTTTTTGCTAGTGGAATTCCTAGCCTAGGATGGGGGTGTGATAGGAGCTGATGCCACAGGCTTGGGTAACACTGCCCCGGAGAACCCAGTGTAGATTTCTGCAAACACAGGCAGGCACCCATTTGACACTGGCAGGTTTGCTGCATGTCACCCAGGGTGATATATTAAGTACTTATTAACTACCTCCAAACTTTGCTGTCACAGCTTGTGACAGCAAACAGGCTTTGCCAGCAGCTCTGGCTAATGATGTGTCCTGAGGTTATGATCAAGCTTTGGGAAAGGCTTTGTCCCCTGCAGGCTGAGGCAGAAGATTTGATTCTGAGCTCTTTCATGGCCTGAGGCCCCAGTTTTCTTAGGCCTCTTATAGGACACTGTGCATCTTGGGCTGCTTGGGAACGTGCTGTCCCATTGTCCCTGGAACACAAACTGCCCACATCAGGGCCTGCTCTGAGATTTGGAAACAGCCGCCTCAGAGACTGTGGTTCTTGGGAGCGAGTAGACCTAGTGGTTATGAAGGGTGGGTTAGGGGCTGGAAAGGCTTTTGGGGGATACCCTGGTTAGGGGATCATGACAGCATGGTAGCAGCTAAAAAGTGACAGTGGTGGTAGCAGTAGCTGACCCTTCCATAATACTGACTCTTTGCAGAGACATTTATCACTTCATGAAATGCTCCCAACAACCCTGTGAAGTGTTAATTATTGTCCCCTATTATGAATGTGTACAGAGAAGCACATGAGCTTGCCCAAAGGCACACAGCTAGTCAGAGCCTATTGATGAGGCGGGTGGTTAAATAGTCACCCATTACCGGCCATACCAAATTACAGTCCTCCTACCAGTGTCTGTAGTCTCATGAAAGCATGGCTTCTCCCTTGCTAGACATTCAGAGCACATCTAAAAGACAAGCTTTGTCTTGCTGGGAATACTGTTCAGTGTTAGTACACTTGCCTGGCATGTTTGAGAGCCTGGACTCCATCCCCAGTACCACAGTCCATCAGTCAATCAATGCAGGCTTTTTCCCCTCTTGACGTCATGTAATTCACTCTGAAATATAAACTGTGGGCTCTATAGGAGTGGGCACGTGTGTGCAGACAGATTTCCGTGAAGTCGTTAAAGCATCTGGGGAGGAGAGCTGTGCTTCTTGGCAGCTCTTTAGACCTAGATGTGGCTCCTCCTCGGCATTTGCTTCCTCCTGTTTTGCGGGGGCGGGCTCTTTACCTGGGGACATAGGCAGTGTCATAGGCAGTAGGTGCTGGCTGGGTTTGGGAAGTGTCCCTTGTGTGCCAGGAAGGGATTGCTGGAAAGGACAAGCAGCATGAGCCGAGCCCCCCGAGCTCTCCTGACGACTCCATCCTTGGCCTCCTGCTGCAGGCAGAAGGTGGTAGAAGGCAGCCTGACGCACCCCTTCGCCCTGACGCTGTCTGGGGACACGTTATACTGGACAGACTGGCAAACCCGCTCCATTCACGCATGTAATAAGAGGACTGGCGAGAAGAGGAAGGAGATCCTCAGCGCGCTCTACTCACCCATGGACATCCAGGTGCTCAGCCAGGAGCGGCAACCTTCCTGTGAGTGCCTGGCAGGCGTCCGACCCTCCACTAGGGCCCTGCCATCTGAGCCTTATATACCGGACAGAGCCCTTCCCCTGCAGAAACCCGTGGATGGGGGAGGCAGCGTTCTTAGAGTGGTGCTGTCTGGCCTTGAGGGATGTATGTGCAGAGCCAGCCAGGCTGGGGGTGGCAGGCAGTGTCCCTCACGGATCTCATACAGTGCTGTTTGTAGGCCTAGAGGCAGGTGGCCATAGGGCCCCAGGGAAGGCTGCCCCATCTGGCCCGGCAGAGTTTTCATGAGTGAAAAATTTCCTCTGAGTCAGTGGCTCTCAGCCTGGGGTGCTCACAGGGTCCTGACCCAAGTCTCTGATGGTGACACGTGGGCTTCTGTGACGAGTGACCAGCAGGCCAGGGGTTTTGGTTCATTCAGTGCTGTGGGGACCAGGGTAAGAGACTTCTAGCCAAGCCATTATGGGATGTTTGAACTTAGAACTTCAGGGTAGGGGCCCGGGGCAGGACAGAAGGGAGAAGGGGTTGTCTGGAGTAGTTTTCAGGCGAGAACGTCATGTTCCCTGCGCCCACCTTCCCTTGGGACCACACATGCTCCTCAGCCAGCATTAGGAGGGCAGAGGTCCATTGCGTTGAAGCTATCCTTCCAGTTAACTCTGTACTGACTGGGGTGGTGCTGCGCCCCACCTCTGCCTGGGCAGAAGGAGTTCAAGGGGCAGTGGGTGCCTTCAGTTGCTTGTTGGTCATAGAAGGACTTGGGGAACCCAGCCCACCGTGAGGCTCCACCCCGGCCTGAGCATGGTCACTTCATGCAGAGCCTGCAGGGTCCCAGCACATTGAAGAGACGGGACAGTCTGGATGACAGGCTGTGTGCTCAGGAACCAGCTGTCTTGGGTCCCTGTCACTGCTGTATAGTCAGGTCCTGAGATCCTGCCATGAGTGCGTGAGGGTGGCCTTCCCGGTGGAAGTGTCCCTGAAGAAGCTGGAGGTTTTCTTGTTGGAGGAGCACAGGGTGGGAAGGATACCTGCTCAGGGCGGGGCACACCTGGGTGGTGTTGGAGAAATTGCAGACCAGCTGGGAAGGCTGAAGGCCCAACATGGTGGGTTGTCAGTGGGGATATGGGACTGAACGGAGCCTGCGGGGAAAGGTCTTGATGCCACCAGGGGGTGACGTTTGGACAGAGGGACACACTGGGGGTTCTCTTGGAGGACAGATAAAGAGTTAGATTGCTGGCCCATTTGGAAACAAAGGGAGGGGGGTGATGAGGGCATTGGATGATGGCGGGGTCATGGACCCTGTTCCAGAACTTTCCCTCACTCTGTCCTGTTTTTTCCAGTCCACACGAGATGTGAGGAGGACAATGGTGGCTGCTCTCACCTATGCCTGCTGTCCCCGAGGGAGCCTTTCTATACCTGCGCCTGCCCCACCGGCGTGCAGCTCCAGGACAATGGCAGGACGTGTAAGGCAGGTGAGGCAGAGGATGGGAGGGTGGGATGGGCCCCTGGCTGCCGCTGGCTTGAGGAACCTGTTTACAGTCTTGCACTCGCTCTAGCAGGGGCCTTGGGTATCAGCCAGCTGAGAATCCAGGTGGACTTGGGCAGCGAGTGGCTGGGATGTACAGGCAGATCTGGGCTCTGTTGCCTGATCGGTGAACAGTCTGAGGTCCAGTCTCAGCTTAGTTGAAGCCTTGTAATGACCAAGTCGGGCCACCAAGGTCAACAGGCACACCACCAGCACGTGGTAATCAAGCCCTGAAAGCTCACTGCCATTAGCTTTTAACTGAAATCGATGTTGATTGTGAGCAAAGGACAGTGGCATTAGTGGACACTGGGCAGGGAGTGACCCTGGAATCCCACCTAGGCCCCCTCCTTGCCTGTGTTTTCTCCTCATCCTGCCTTCTTTTCTTTGTGTTCACCATCTGTCCAGCCTTGGGAGCCCCGCAGGGTGGTTTTGTCTTCTACTTTCCTGCCTTTTTGTATGCATTTTTCCTGGTTGGATGGGGATTTGTAATTCATTTTTACCCTTGCATCTCATTCCCACAGTCTTCATGCCAGAGTAACTCCCCTGTGGAAATTTAGGCCACAGTACATCCTTAAAGGGAATTTCCTTTTGGATGCACGGAGCTGAGTTGCTCTCCCTCCCCACAAGCAGCGGCTTTCTTTGCTTCAGGTGTTTAACACCTCCTTGCTCCCAGCCCTGGTCCTCAGGCTCTTATTGTCAGGGCTCCTGTCCTATGACTCTGCAGCCAGGCGTCTTCTCCTCCTCTGCGGCAGCCGCTGAAGACCTGGATTTCTGGGTGTCAGGCTGAGGGTGGGCTCTTACGCATATGCATGGCCAGGGGTAGCCTATCATCTGGGATGCCCCAGGGTCCACTGAGGCTGGTCTGGCTGTGGGGCTGGGCCAGTGAGGGGTCAGTAGGGGAGGCCAGGAAAGCAGCTGTCCCTGGGATCATCTCCATTTCATGGGAGCAACAGGGCCTCGCTAGTAAAACGTGGTCCAGGGCCAAGGCCTGGTTCCTGTATCATTATCCCACTTGGAAGAAAGAGAAAGGCAGGGCCAGCTTCTCAAGTGGGCTAGCTTCCAATATGGGATGGGCCCGGAGGCCGGTTCCTGCTGAGCTGACTGCCAGAAGCACTATCGCAGCATCCATATGGGTGGAGGGATTTTCTCCCTTGGCCCCAGCTGCTGCCCAAGCACACAGGGTCTTGACTCCGGGGTGGTTTCCAGGTCTTTCTGCTCTTAGCAGGTCATGGTCTGTATTTGCGTGCAGCGTCTGGGGACTGTGCGGGTCATGGTGGTAATGGGATCTCTTTCTGCTCTGTGGCAGGGCTTCTGCTTCCAGGGAGGACTTTCCAGGTCTGGATTCGCTGTTTCTCTTTCCCAGAACACAGTGTCTTCAGTGAAAGGAGACTTGGCTATTTTGCCAGAGGAGCTGTCAGCTGCGTTGGCTGCTTGGGGGACAGTTGGGAGGTCTCTCCCTCACAGCACGCCTTACTTTCCCAAGTAGAGAGAGGGAGTAGCACTGATTTGGGACACAAATCATTTGAGACACATTTGACCCTGTCTTATTGGTTTTTTTCAAAGTAGGACCTTAGCTGCTCAGAGTGAAGGGCTTGCTTGAGAAGCCTCCTGAGCCACGTTCAGTCAGCCATCTGTCCATCTGTCCGTCCATCCGTCCATCCATCCATCCATCCATAATGGAGTAATTTATTGAGCACCTGCTATGTCCTGCACTATTCTAGGCACTAGGGTCCCTATAAGGAACAATGTGGGCACAGTTCTGGGCTTTAGAGCTCACATGGTAGGGCAGGGGTAGGTAGGGAGAGAGATGGACAACTTGCACCATTGAGTGATGCAAACATGTTGGAGGTCACCTCAGGCCATCTGGAGTTTACCCCTTGCCTTGCTGGGGAGGTGAGGCTGAGGGAGAAGCTAGGCCCTGTAAGGGGGTCTGGACCAGATGACTCAGGCATACCTGGAGTTTGGACTGAGCAGCTTAAGGGGGATGGGAGACTGGCTTGATCAGGTTAGCTTAACCCTCTCTTTTTTACAGATGAGAAGACTTAGGGCAAGTCACCAGCCTGTGGTCACTCACAGCAGGTAGCAGGGTAGGTTCAGGAAGGTAGACTCTCCCAGCTCTCCCAAGATATTGGTGGCTGCTACCTCTGTTACAGAGAGATGATTTGACTGCCAAGGTCTTGTGTCCTGGTAGAGTGAGGCCCTAGCCTCCCGCCAGTCTGCCTGGGCCCTGCCTGCTCCCTGGGAAAGGATGCTTAGCCCCTTGGCTTCTCAGGAAGCTTGGTCTTGTTAGACTTTGGCTTCTCTCCTTTCTTCCACCTTCCTGTCCATCACTGTGAGAGGAACAGACTTCCGTGGTAGAGCTGTACTCCATGTTCTTTAACCTGTCACTCAAGATCCCAGTGGGAAAGACATGGCCTTATTGACTGGTGATGCCTGCTTGAACCCTGTGTTGGATTAGTTGATGATGTCTGCCCTGAGACAGAGATGGTCCTAGCTGGATCAGGTGTGGTTACTATGTCTGCTGCTTAAGATATCCTGAGCCAGGCTGCACATGGACAGTTATGGAAGGAGTCAGAGTGGACAGGGAGCCCCAGAGGCAGGTCATACAGTTGTGCCCTGCTAGGAACTCATGTGGGCCCTAGAGATGGGCAAAAAAGGTTGCAAACCCTGATAAATCCCAGAGGCCCGACTCATTAAAGTCATAAACTAGCAGAACGTGAAGTTCTCCCAAAAGTTTGCTGAGGCCATCTTGGGTTGCTGCTGGTCCTTTAAGTGGGGACAGAGCCTGGGCCTTGCTATGCCCTGTTCCCTCATCTGTGAGGCTCTGCCTGGGGGACCATGGAAGACCCAGTGCATTAAGAACAGGGTGTCCAGGGCAGGTGTCTGGCACCAGCTGGCGCTGGGCATGTGAGAGCTGGGGTGGGACTGCTGGAGAATTGGCTTTACCTGTCCCAGGAATCTCAGGGATAGCCATACATGACCCTTGCAAGGGGACTGTCACTGGGGAAGTGCTAATTTCTTTTCCCACCGAATAAGCATGGGCTTTGGGCTGACATGGTGCCCTGCCTCCTTTTTGTTTCATGGGGTTCCCACAGCTGAAGCCCTAGGGACTGACCACCCGTAGCTGAGCCCTTTGATGGCATGGTGTTCTGTCTGCAAATTTCAAGTCCTTGTCCCCAGGTCCAGCCCCAGACCAGTACTAGGGAGTCCTGGGAACTCACTGGCCTTTAAGGATGGCCCAGCCTGGCCTGTGTGATGAGCAGAGGAAAGGAAGTCACCTAGGACCGCAGAGTGCTGCTATGGCAGCCAGAGTTGGAGGGGTTCCCCTGAAGAGGTGACATGCAGGCTGACAGTGACCTGCAGTCTCCGGCCACAGCCGCGGTGGCTCTGTGTCGTGGTGCTGACACCACAGACACCTGTGGGGTGGAAGCAGTGGATTAGCAGCACACCCAGCCCTTCCTGCTGGGAGCTTCAGTCCAGAGCTGCCCCAGGCGGATAGCGTGGCTTCCGGCCTTCTTCAGCAAGCACAGCCAGCTACTGACCAGATTCCCTAGGGATGGCACCTTTCCCTGCTTTCCTAAGCACTTTTCTTACCCCCAGCAGTAAGAGGCACTTTTACAAAGACCCTGTGGGAGAATGCCAAGCATATAGGAAAAAAGGGTTTTTGTTGTCACTCAGAGGCTCTGCTTGCTTGTGGGAGTGTATGCCCTGCCAGGCGTCTGCACAGTGTGAAGACTTTTGTCCCCAGAGCCTGAATTTTTCTGCTTTGGCTGCAGACACCCTGCCTAGAGTGTTATGTCAAAAGAAGGAAAAGTGGGTAGATGAGACAAAGCGGGTGGGCCAGAGTCTCTTTCTGCATGAGAATGGAACTGTTCCCTACCAGCTGATCCCAAGCTGGCTTCTCTGTGGGCTTCCCTTTGATTGGTTGTTTGGGCTGGGTGCTGACCAGGCCCCTCTGTCTCCCTGCCTGGGACACACTTGTGTTGCTGGGCAGCAGAGATGGTACAGGATAAACAGAATTTCCTGAAAGTTTTAGAGCTGAGAAGAAACCTAAAATAAAGGGTTTGCCAAAATGGCTTTCTGCATAAGATGCTTCTGAAATATCTTTTCATCTTTCCTAATCCAGAAATCTAGGGGTGATTAAGAAAAGGCCTGTCCTTGGGGATCTTTGGATCCATTTGGAGGGCAGATACAGCCCCCCAGACTGAGCTGTGAGCAAGGCTGGAGGGGCTGGGGGCTTCAGGTCTTACAGGAAGAGAAGACCAGGCTGGCAAAGGGGAGGTTGAGGATGCAGATTTCTTCTTCCACTACTTTTATTTCTTGCCACCAAATCGCATGTTAAAGGCAGAGTTCTACTGAAGACCGTAATCCCATCACCCGAGCCCTGTGTCCTGTGGTTTCCTTTTCTCCCCTGACTTCCCAGGCTGCGTGCCCCCAGGGTATGTGTGGCTTTGTGTCCCTGGGGACAGGGTCCTCTGGAATGCAGGACTTGATGCTGGCTCGCTGCTGCACATCAATTGTGAAAACCGCCTGGAGATCATAGCTGGTTACGCAAGGGCACACTGAAGAAACTGCTAAATCCTCTTGTCTGTCATGGCTGGCGGGGTGGCTTGAGGTCCTGGTGGGCAGAGGCCCTGTGCAGGCGCCCTGCCAGCGGAGATGTCAGAGCTCGCCGGAAGGGAGTGGTGCCCATGGCAGGCTGCCAGTACCTGGGGAGCCTTCTGAGGTGTCCAGTTGGAGGATGACATCTGGGGCAGGCAGAGGAGGCAAGGGGTCACTTGGGGATGTCCTCTTGGCCCTAGGATCCATGAGTTCTGGTATCTTGGGCGTGAGGAACAGAGGGCGTGTACTAAGAGCCCTGGAGGTGGCCCTTGGCGGGAGCAGAGACCACAGGGAAATGGAGATGGAGGTGATGGAGAAGGAGGCTGTGCGTGTGGGCTTGCTAGT